ACTAGATGAATGAATAAAGAAACTGTGGTATATATACACAATGGAATATTACTCAGCATTAAAAGAGAATAAAATTATGGCATTTGCAGGTAAATGGATGTAGTTGGAGAATATTATGCTAAGCGAAGTAAGCCAATTCCAAGAAACCAAAGGCCAAATGTTCTCTCATATGACTGGATGCTTATCCATAATGGGGCAGGGGGGCATGGGGAAAATGGGGGAGCTTTGATAGGGCAAAGGGGATGGAGGAGAGGGGGTATGTGGGCAGGAAAATTGATGGAATGAGATGGATAGACATTATTACCTTAGGTACATGTATGACTGCACATATGGTGTGACACTACATTGTGTCCTGACATAAAAACAGGCACAAATGAAAAGTTGTACTGCAATTGTGTACAATGAAAAAAAAAAAAAAAACTCAAGGTCATTTCAACGTAAAAGGCAGACATAACACAGTTTTTGCCCTTTAAAATATTCACACTAAAAGATTGAACGAGAAGGTAGAAAGAAAATTAACACCTCATATAATTTGGAAAAAATTGAGATGCAAAATCTCATTGAGATATAAACATCTGTAAAATTGAACTTTCCCCCTGTTGTCAAAATACATTAAAGGTTGTTAGTAGTGATTTCAGCATCAAACTTATTTGCATGAGGGCTTCAGTTCTGGATCTGCAGTGGCTGCTCTATGTCTGCAGTCACTTAATGCTATTCAACAGATTTTCTTATCTCTGATTTCTTTTCTTTTTCTTCTTTTCCTTTTTAAACAACAGATTGAATTCAGGATGCTTAACCACTGTGCTACATACCCAGCCTTTTTTTTATTATTTTGAGATAGGATCTCCCTAAGTTACTGATGCTGGTCTTAGACTTGTGATCCTACTGCCTCAGCCTCCCCAGTTGCTAGGGTTAGAGGCATGCACCACTACATCTGGCCCTCTCTCTGATTTCTGTGCACATGATAGGACAGCACCTCCTGCCCCTGTTGTTGTTGAGTCGATACATATGACCGGCCTCAGTCTGTAGAATAAGCAAAACCTGCACATGTTCCTATCCTTTGGTCTGAAGCATGTAATTGCCTGAGGCCTCTAAGCTGCTTTCCCTCTGTAGCAAGAATCAGCAAGTGACCATTTAAGCAGCCTGGGCTCTGAGTGAGTATAATCCAGCATGGATGCCCCCAGCTGACACGTGATTGATTTGCAGTGTGAGTGAAAAACAAGTCTCATTTTAAATCACTGAGATAGGGAGAAAATCATTACTGTAGAGTCAACCATCTCATTTTCACATATTATTCTTAGATAAGTCATTTTAGCTCTTTGGTCTTCAGGTTTCATCACCTGACTTAGCAAATAAAAGGGGGGAAAAAGAACATTCAGTAAGCATCTCTTGAATATAAGGCTGATTTATTCTTACTAATCAGGCAAGGTATTGTTCCTTGCTAAAATATCCCTGAATCCAAAGATCTCTCTCAACTTCATAGCTAGCATAATAATCTAGGCCACTACCATCTCTTATTGGTCTCACCTTCCTTAATTCTGCTCTAAACTTCCAAAGAATTCTTCCTGCAGATTGAATCAGATCCAAATTCCCTCTAGTTTAAATTATATTCAAGCTATTTATCATGGTATATGAAATTCCATGATCTGATGATCTCTGCCAATCCCTTCAGTCTAATCATTCAGAATCTCCTGACCAGTCATGAAGTTCTAGTTATCCAGGTCTTCTTGATATCTGATATATGGCTCCTTTCTGCCTCAAGTCCTTTGCACTTGTTATTCCTTTTACTAGGAATATACTTCTTTAGGTTTTATGGTTGACTTTTTAATTGGTGCATATTAGTTACACAAAACAGTGGGGTATCATAGGGGTATATTTATAATTTAATGAGTTTCAGTCCCTAACGTCCATGTATGAGCAAAAAAACATGCCACACTTGTCTTTGAGTCTGGCTTACTTTGTTTAACATGATTTCTGGTTTTATATATTTTTATGCAAATGACAATCTTGTCTTTCAGGACTGAATGAAAGTCTCTTGTGTATGAATATCAAACATTTATTCATTCATTTGTTGATGAACACTTAGGCTGATTGCTTAACTTGGCTTTGGTGAATTATGTTGCTATACACATGGGCATTCATGCATTTCCAAACTATGTTAACTTTTATTCTTTTGGATTAATATCAAGGAGTGGTATAGCTGAATCACATGATATTGCCAGTTTTGTTTTGTGAGAAATATCCAAACTGATTTCCATAGTGGTTGCACATTCCAACTAACAGTATATTAGAGTTCCTTTCCCCCACATCCTGTCCAATATTTATTGTTGTATTCTTAATGATTGTCATTTGAGCTAGAGAGAGATGGAATTTCAAGGTAGTTTTTGATTTGCATTCCTTGATGGCTAAAGATGTTGAAATATTATAAAAATATTTATATAATTGTTGGCCATTTGCACACTTTTGGAGAAGCTTCTGTCTAGTTCATGTGCCCATTTTGTGAATGGGTCATTTGATAATTTGATGTTGAGTTTTTCCACACAATTGGACTATAACTTCTCCCTTAGTAGAGTAGCTGGAAAGATTTTCTCTTATTTTTGTAGCCTGTTCTTTACATTGCTGTTTCCTTTGTTATGGAAAAGTTTTTTAATTTAATAGAATTCCATTTATTGATTCTTACTTTTACTTCCTGAGATATAGGATTCCTATTCAGGAAGCTGTTGCCTCGACCTGTACGTTGGAGTGTTTCCTCTATGTCGTCTTCTCCAAGTTGCACACTCTCGGGCCCCTACACCTGGGTCTTTGATGCATTTAGAGTTGACTTTTGTACAGGGTGAGAGATGGGAGTCTAGTTTCATTCCTCTACATATGGTGATCCAGTTTCCCTGGTACCATTTTTACAGAGGTTGTCTTTTCTCCAATGTGTGTTTTTGGCACATTCATCACAGAATCAGGTGACTGTAACTGTGAGGGTTCATCTTTACAACTTGTATTCTGTTCCTTTGACATTTGTGCCTGTTTTTATGCCAGAACTATTCTGTCTTTGTTACTATGGCTCTGTAGTATAATTTGGGAAAAACTAAAATCATGTTCTCTAACAGGAGAAGGATGTTAATTTTTACCATTCCAATATAGTGCTTGAATATATTTCTTTTTCCCCAAAATGAGAATTTAACCCCCAGGGGCTTAACCACTGAGCAACATCCTCAGCACTTTTATTTTTTATTTTGAGGCAGAATCTCACTAAATTGCTCCAAGCCTTGCTAAGTTGCTGAGGCTGGACTAGAATTTGTGATCCTCCTGCCTCCTGTACTGCTGGGATTATAGGCATGAGTCACCATGCCTGGTAGAGTACTTGCTTTTTAGCAAAAGTATATAGTTAAGAGAATAAAATAAAAAGGATTTAAATAGAAATGGAAGAAGTCAAAGGAAGCCTATTTGTAGATGATATGATCCTGTACTTAGAAGAGCCTAGAGACTCCACTGGAAGAACATAGATCTGATAAATGAACTAATCAGAGTGAGTAGAAACAACACAAAAGAATCACTTTTCTATATACCAATAATGACTCCACTAAGAAATTAGGAAAATAATTCCATTCACAATAGCTTTAAAAAACACCTAGGAATGTGTCTATCCAATGTAAAACATCTGTACAAGGAAATTACAGAATGCTGAGAAAAGAAACAGACGTAGACACTTAGTATGAAAAGAATTTCCATGTTCATGGACATCCAGAATTAATACTAAAATGTCCTCTTTAAGAAGTGACCCACGGGAGGCTGGGGATATAGCTCAGTTAGTAGAGTGCTTGCCCCGTATACACAAGGCCCTGGGTTCTAATCCCCAGCACCACCAAAAAAAAAAAAAAAAAAAGTCACGTACAGATTTGATGTTATTTGGATCAAACTACCAATGACATTCTTCACAGAACTAGAGAAAAAAGTCCTAAATTTTATATGGAAAAGACCCAGAATATACCAAGCAATCCTGAGCACAAAGAGCAATGCTGGAGTTATTATAATACCCAATTTCAAATTGATTCATTTTTCATCCTTTTGACCTCAGCCCAAAGTGTGATATTGAACTAAACTTGTTTGTCCTTGATAAATAATTGTCAGTTATTATCTGAAATTGTATTCGCTTATTAATTCACTTGTATTTTCAGAATTCCCTAATGTAACAGCAGATCATCAAGGGTAGAGATCTTGCATTTCCTGTTCACTGATGTTTTCACAAAGCTCAAAATGTAGCTTGGCACACAGTGAATTCTCAAGAGTTATTTGTTGAATAAAATAAAATTAGTGATGCAAATAAGGAAATAAGACTGGGAGTTTGAAGATATTTCCTTATTTTCCTCTATTTCTATATCTGTATGTCACATTGATCATGTTTTCTGGAGAGCCCTGAATCTGTAAGGGAAAAGATAATTTGACAAACCTATTGATGTTCCATTTTGTCATGTTTCACAGGTGACAAGGATCACGGGTGATTTGTACTGTGCTACTTATCACTGCACAACTTGCATTTGTATTTCCACCCAAATCTACATGTTTCCCATGACACTCATCAGTATTTCCCAAAACTTGGCAAACTGCATTGCGGGAACTGCCTGCCCACTGCTTATTTGTTCCAGAGTCATAGACTGTGTGCGCTCCATTCCCAGCTGCTTCCCATTAGCAAAAAGCTATCTCCCTCCTCCCTGCTCCCAGCGCAGGAAACCAGCACATCCTGTAGTCCAGCATTTTCCAGGAGCTCTGCAGCCAGCAGCCTGTGGGGGGCGGGCAGGGCTCTTGTCATCTCCAGGGTTCTGTCTCCAGGGCTCTTGCACAGAGCTCTGCAGCCTGAGCAGCCCGGGCTGGAGACCACAGTGCTCCTCTCTCCCAGCCTCCTTCACCGAGTCTGTGCGCTCTAGATTGCGTTCTCTTTCCTATCTGGCTCTGCTTTGGACTGAGCCTCATACTAGGGAACGCTCGGATCTTTGATTTTACTGACAGTGATGGGAAAACTTGAAAATGCCTCATTCAACAGTTCCGAGGGCTGCCTCTGCGGGCCTTGGCACAGCCACTTCTTTCTCCCTCTCGCAGTGGTGTATGTACTGGTTTTTGTGGTGGGGGTGGTGGGCAATCTTCTGGTGTGCCTGCTGATTCTTCGGGACCAGGCCATGAAGACACCCAAAAACTACTACCTGTTCAGCTTGGCCGTCTGTGACCTCCTGGTCCTGCTGCTGGGAATGCCCCTGCAAGTCTACGAGATGTGGAGCTACTCTCCCTTCCTGCTCTGGCACCCAGGCTGCTACTTCAAGACAGCTCTCTTTGAGACCGTGTGTTCCGCCTCGGTCCTCAGCATCACTGCGGTCAGCGTGGAGCGCTACCTGGGCATCCTCCACCCCTTCTATGCCCAACGGAAAAGCACCTGCCGGAGGGCTTGCAGCATCCTCGGCCTTATCTGGGGCTTCTCCCTCATCTTCTCTATGCTCAGCACCATCATCTATGGCTTTAGGGTCCCCTACATCCCCAGTGAGACCTGGGTTCCTGGCTCTGCCACCTGTACAGTCATCGAGCCCGTGTGGATCTACAATGTCTTCATCCAGGTCACCTCCTTCCTCTTCTACGTCCTCCCCATGACGCTCATCAGTGTCCTCTACTACCTGATGGGGCTCAGGGTGAGTAGCCAGGATAACTGGTCAGGGCAGCATTGCTTCATTTCACTGCCCCAAAGTTCAGAGACAAACTTACAATTGGAGAACGTCAGAATTGGAAGGGAGCATGGAGGAAAATAGGATGAGTTCAAATGGAAAATTAAAAAGTTAAAGGACTTGCCCAAAGCTAAGTAGCAAACCTACAACCACATACAGTTTCCAATAGCTAATAATTTGCCATCATTCTTCCCTCTATACTTGTTCTCATATCTTAAGTTATTGTTTTTTTTTTTTCTTTTTTAATAAGAATTGGCTGGGAAACTTACTATGGGTCCCAATAGGCACACCTTACCCACAGGAAAATCAGCTTCAGGAGGTTTGAGGTGGGGCCTCACTTTAGATAAGTGCATCAGGCCATCTGGGCTTGGTAGAAACACTGAGGGACTCTTCCACACCCTACTGTCTCTTTCCTATCTACTGCCTGTGTTGACATTGACCTCTTTATGAACTTGATCTGAGTATACCATGAAATATAGATACCTACTATAATCTGAGACATAAAGTCAAATACTTCATTGTGGTTGCTTTGACCATGTGGTTGAAATAACAAAAAAATCAAACACACACACACACACACACACACACACACACACACACATATATATATATATATATATATTTTTTTTTTCCTCCTTAAGAAGATCAACCTGCTCTCCTCTTAATCAGGTGGAATTAGAGAGGTGGGGAGATAAACAGACCACATGAGATACAATAAAAAGAAAATGTGAATAAGAGACATCTGGAATTAAGGCAAATATTACTTAATTTACAAAATCTCCTGTCATTAGATGTTTCTTTCCTATTCTTGTGTCATGAAACTAATTCCTTCATTCTTTCTTTCCTTCACTTTTTAATTTCCATTTCTAGGACTATATTAAGCTGAGTTTCTTTGACAAGGGTAGGATTGAGTCCATATAATTCCTGGTATATTCTGTCCCCAAATGTATGGAGGTACAAGTCTTGACTGTGACAGTTTTATACCTGTGTAAGAAAGTAGCTTTTGTGACAGCTTTGAAGTGATTTATACTCCCAGGACCTCAGCTGACATAGAATATGCTTTTAGGGAAGCCACATAATTCTCCTTGAATGACTTTTCCATTCATAAAATAAAAAGGTCACATTAGGTCACATCTAAGGCCCCATCTAACGCTAGAGGTCTGTGATTCCTTTAGGGAGGGAGGGGGAGCCATGTGTGATATGAATGGAAAGAAAACAAAATAGTTACGTCCATCCTATGCTTTAAGATGGCTCTGACTCTATGTGACAATTAACATACTCCCATCTGAGTCCAACTTTGAGAAAGAGAATTTTCAAAATGGATCATTCCACAGGTGAATCTTTTTGAAGACATGTTGTCCCTAAGATGAACATCAAGGTCTATGTAAAGAAGAACAAATTTTCAGTGTCACTGACCTTTGAGCACTGGAGTATACCTAATCACACAGAGCACTGTGTTATGTTAGTTTCCTCTTGGAGGGTGGCTCTTCATTCTCCTGGTGATATGTTATCCCAGAGCAGCTCCCAGCCATGTCTTAGAATGCCTTGTGCATCTCAGAGGAAGAGACACCTACAAATGTTCAGACATCTTCGGTCATAAGAGAAATCCTCACCTAGAACTTATCAATATCATCTTCTCCAACACCAAACACTTATCTGGGGTCAATTTGGGGGAAATATTGAAATCTGAACAGACACATGTTTACCCAACTGTCACCTTTGTTTCATTGTCATAAAGTCACTGATGTTTTTTCTTAAGTTTGTGGAAGTGTTTATGTTTTAAAAATAGTTTCAAAAGAACAGGATGCTTGAATATGATGTATATTCAAGTGGGAAAAAAAATTCCCAATTTCTCTGCTAAGTTGGCACCAATAATTAAACAAACAGATTAAAGGGGACAATCTCTATGGAATTATGATTTAAATTATGTTGTAAGTAATTCATTCTGTTATATCCTCTCAGGCTTGAGATCACATTCAGAATTAAATAGAAAAATTTCTAAGCTAGAAAGCAAAAATGGGAAAATCAAGTAGTTAGCTACTTGATTCTACCATATCTAAACAAAAAGTCTGGGTAGTTTTGAAATTAAGTACCTCTTGGGATAATTACTATCATCAACAATTCACCATGAAATGCCTATACCTAATAAGCTGGTTTTCTTCTCTGTTCTGTTCCTTTGTCCTGGCATGTATATGCCTGAGTTCAGTGAAGACTACTGAGAGCAGAGAAGCAAGAGACAGAGTAACAAAGTCGACCCAAGAAGTTCCAGGGCCCTAGAGTATTTTCTGTAGTTGGTCACGATCATTTATGTTTCAATACAGAAGACTTAATAGGCTATTCTGGGGGAAAAAAAATATAACTTTGCTATTAGGTTACCCTGTAAAAAACCATCATATAGACAGCCTGTACTAGGCAATTAGCCTAAAGCTCTTGGATCATGATAGAAACAACAAAAATAACAAGAAGAAAGACTTGGATTTTCCTACTGAAAATTTTTACTATTTGTTGTTGAGGCCTAAAGAAAGTAGCTTTGCCCATTATTTGCAGCCTAGAATTAAGGACAACAACTTGTGTTTGAGCCAATTAGGAACAAGACCAAACTTTCTTCTTAGGTCTTTTTAAGTTGACAAGTGGCACTTCCCTAATGAAGTTTTTCATATAACTTTTAACAAGAACTCATAAGTAGTACCCAAGAGATGAGAGACTGATGGTAATTCAGATGGGCACCTCTGAAAAGCCTTGTCAGTGTCCTGTCCCATTCTAGACAGATTGGTTTGAAAACCTTTGGAAAAGACTAAAAATCCACCAGGTTGAGACTGTATGTGAGTTTTCACACATTAATTGAAAAAACAACAATCACAGCATGGTGCCCAGCAGACGTTCACAGATAATGTCATGGAAAACATGAGCACTGTGAATCATTGCAGTAGGCAGATGATCCTTAATGGGACCTTAAAAATCAAAGCAAACATCTTGCTGAATCCATTACAAAAATGAATAGGCACCAAGCCAAGATAATACATTCCAATTCCAGAGCATTTCAATGCCCTGAAAGCCTAAGTGTTTGTGGATTTGTCATGATGCTTGTGGTCTTGAAATGTTTCGACATGTGTCTGTTCAGATTTCAATATTTTCCCCAAATTGACCCCAGATAAGTGTTTGGTGTTGGAGAAAACGATATTGATAAGTTCTAGGAGAGGATTTATCTTATGACTGAAGAGGAGTGAAAAGGACTCTGTTGTCCCTGTCATTGTCATATCCTGAATTGTAAACTCTGGGGCATTGAGGTGGTTTTGGAGAAGGCAAGATGAGTCTTCATACAGACCAAACATGAGTGCTGCTACAGTTGTTTTCTGCATCAATGAGGGAACAGATCCCATGGTACAAGTTTCAAAATCTACCCTCCCTCAACTGAAGCACAGAAATATGGGTGGTGTTTTTTTTTTTTTTTTTTTTTTTTGTGTGTGTGTGTGTATGTACCAGGAATTGAACCCAAGGGCATCCAAATACTAAGCCACATCCCCAGCCCTTTTTATTTTATTTTTGTTTTGAGACAGGTTCTAAGTTGCTGAGGCTAAGGGTGACTTTGAACTTGGGATCCTTCTGCCTCAGCCTCCAAAGCCACTGTCATGGTGGGTTTTGATTCCATACAGCTGCTGCTGAAAAGGTATCTTTTAATGAGAAATGTGGTCGTTACATTGTTGAAAGCTATGCAGCAGCCACAAAAGTTAATGCCTCATGTCACCAACATTTGTAATGTGAGGCACTATATCTTATTTTGAAGATTGGTGGCCTTTTTTCATGAACTTCTGGCAACATCATGTTGTTTTTGATGTTTCTTTGAACCCTCGTGATTGCCTGGCCTTGGCTTTGTACCTGGAACACCAGCTGAACCGGTTGTTGTGGGGGGTGCCAGCTTTTTGGCATCTTTCCCATTTTCTTCTACGGTTACTGGTCAGGGTCTGTCTTCTGGGGTAACTTTTGATAACTGAATTTCCATGGCATGGGTGCCAGGACCCATGCCCAGTGTCAACAACCCACAGGACAATGATGAGTGAAGCTGTGAGCTCAGGCCTGGTCCTCTTAGCATTTTTTTTTTTTTAACTCAGGAACTGAGTGACAAGTGACAGAGAACAGGTTAGAAATCACCCACGTTTGCTTTCTTTATTTTTTTCTTCTTTTAATTATTATACATGTTTATTGTAAAAGCTTTAAACAACACATATATTCAAAGAAGAAGATAAAATTATCAAAAATTTTACCCCATGCATATAAGAATATTAATTTTTATAGCATATCCTTCTAAACTTCTTTATATACATTTTTGGACTGGTAGCATAAGTCAACAATTTTATATAGATAGATAGCATCATGCTGAACATTACTATTTAAAAATTTTTTTTAAACTTTGTTTTATTTTTTATATTAACTCAATTATTTATTTTAATTAGGTATATATGACAGCAGAATGCATTGTGATTCATTGTACCAGGTTTGGTTTCTGGGTGTAATGCAACTTATGACATCCTATTCTCAGGAAGGATGGATGAGAAGTTACCCAGGTACCAGAGGACAACAGAAAAGGAGCCACTTGCTCAGAAATTCTTTCTAGAAACAAGTGTAATATCTGTGTTCTAGAAGCTTGAGAATTCAGCTCTGCTGTGCTGGGATTTTGTACCTGTTGCCTAAGACATCCCTGCTGTCCACTAAGAGTTAAAAAGAGTCTTAGTTATCCTCCAAGTCATACTCAGTTACAGTTAGTCAAGGAAGTTCTCCGGGTCCTCTATTCCATGTTATAGGTGCTCAGAGCCCCTAGTGATTTTTCTTTATTACAATTAGTAATTCTATATTGGTAGTTTCCTTAATTTATTTCTCCTAAACTGAACCATAAGCTCAGTGAATGGATGAGGCTAAAGGACTTCTCTTTTCCTGGGCTTCAAGTTCTGTACTTTTCAAACATTGGAAAT